GGGTATTTTCGTATTGTTACAGGTAATGGATTAATATTATTATTGTAATTGTCATCTAATATACCTGGTATTTACATAAAAGAACGTTCAAAACACAGCGTTCATTGACACTACGATAAATCTCGCGGCCATTTGGAGTCAGTCTTTATAGGATATATATATATATATATAATTTTTAGATCGTGTCGCGTAATACTGAGGAGGAAGGCGTGAAGAGGACGAAGAGGATAAAAAAAAAAAAAAAGAATTAAAACCCTATCGACATGTCCTTCCCCGAAGGAAGGAAAATTGTTCCTTTGTTCGAAGAAGGTGAAAAAAAAAATGGGAAGTAACAGAACAGCTAAAAAATAATAAATGAACATTCTCTCTCTCTCTCTCTCTCTCTCTCTCTCTCTCTCTTTCTTGCGAGATTATTCGTCGTTCTAGCGTTTCAACACGGAAATTGACAATTTATGATAACCTAACAGGACAGGAAGTAGAAGAGAAGGAGGAGGAGGAGAAGGGACTGGTGGAAATAGTTCCTCTACAAACACGTGTGTATAGTTTTCTTTTTCCAGCAATGTTGGCACTTGACTTCGCAACACCAATGAAATATGCACGAGCATCTTTCCATCATCATAACTTCCTGTGTCAAGAAACCTCTTCCGCAACACATGAGATCGCAACCATCAACACCGATGCTGGAATCGTTGCATTGTCTTCCTTGCGTACCGAGAATCCCAAGTTTAGGATTTTTCTCGCAAAATGGTGGAGATATGTCCATGTAAACGAGATCTTCCGGTTCCGGTGGCTTGTGTTCTGGATTGTACGGTTTCAATTTGAAATTGTAACGATTACGACGTCCCTGTCCTTCACGATGAACAGAATTACTTGCAGAGTTGGTAACAATGGCGTTACTGTTGTCCCTTGCACGATCAGAATTGCTGACCATTACTCGAGATGCTCCGTCAAAACGATCCTTCAAATGGTCACCTACCACACGGAAATTTGGTAATCTCATCCAACATGTTTTGACAGCGCAAGATCCTGACATACCGTGGCACTTGCATTCTTGTCGCATCTGTGAATAAACGTGCTGCAACAGAACGAACAACAACCCTCGAGCTATCTCTCTTTTTTTTTTTTTTTTTTTCAATGCTGGGTTATCGCGATGCATTCCATGGCGGCTCAACAAAAAGGATATTGCGATAATCGAATATAATGAAGGGAATATGGTGCCGGTGCGGGTGAGCAAAGTCGGCATTGAAAGGACTCGAATTAAACGTTGAATGGATATTATAAGAGTTTTCGATAAGAACGGTAAAACGTTAAGTAAATTTCACAGCTCTTATGATAATTGTAAAATCATTGAAAATACAAATAAATGTCAATTAAGTTAATTCGCGGAAGTGAATGTGAATATTTAATATGAGTAGGGAATGATTATTGTATTAATAACAAATATCCCATATCAAGTGATATCATCTGTATAAATTGTATAATCTGTAATTAGAAAATAAACTTACGACTCTGCCAGCTTCGTTGTTATGAAGGTTCATCTTCTCACGTAGATTTCGTCCACGTTCACCGGTATCGACAAATTCACGAGCAAATTTCATCCCGTATCCGATGTTGTCCGAACAACCACCCCATTCCCAATCTCGGGCGGCCGAGGGTGCACGGGATTGGTGGGTATAATCGCAAGAACATGACTGGATGCTACCCTCGCTGCATGCCCTTGATATGCTGTGTGTAACAGCTGCGCTCATGATGGCGTAAATGAAGGCGGTCTCTCGGCATCCTGAGAATTCATCCAAAATCTAACGAAATTTCTTTATATGGATAGTTTTTAAAGAAAAAAAAAAAAAAAACAAAAAAAAAAAGAAAAAGAAGAAGAAGAAGAAGAAGAAGAAGAAGAAAAGGTAGACAAAACTTTAGCCGGTGGTTTTAGTCGCGTGGGAGTCGCGAGCACCGACGTTGTTNTTATCTGATACTGTCGCCATAACCCTGACGAAATCCTGACGAAACCCTGACGAAACCCTGACGAAACCCTGACGAAACCCTGACGAAACCCTGACGAAACCCTGACGAAACCCTGACAAAACCCTGACAAAACCCTGACAAAACCCTAACGCAACCCTGACGAAACCCTGACAGTTGTTGTGTGCAAACAACAAGTTTGTTGTATGCGAACAACAAGATTGCTCTTTATTGGCGCATTAGCGGAATTTTTGCTGCGATATAATTTGATAATAGATGTACAACTTTGCTACTTCCAATTTTTCTATAAGAAATCTGTAAAAAAAAAAAAAAAAAAAAAATAAAAATTATATAGAAAAAAAAAAAAAAAAAAAAAAAAAAAAAAAAAGAAAAAGAAGAAGAAGAAGAAGAAGAAGAAGAAGAAAAGGTAGACAAAACTTTAGCCGGTGGTTTTAGTCGCGTGGGAGTCGCGAGCACCGACGTTGTTGGCGAACGTCTCAATTCCCCGTAGGGGACTACCTGCACGAGAAGGGCCCCAACGCAGGTGGAAGGAGAACAGTCAAGGAAGAAATGAAGGTAAGAAAGAGAAGAGAAAAGAAGAGGTAACGCGACCTTTACCCTGAGTGGGCTGACCCTCGAGCACCTCGACCTTATCTGCATAAGATACAAGCACCTGTTGCCAACGTAAAAGAGTGCCGGCACCTTTGTGCCGGTGAAGATGTCTTCAAAGACTGAGTGAGAGAGATGAGAGATTTTTTCTTTTTTTTTTTATTCTCAATAGGTGGCCCAATGAACGGACGGACGGACGGACGGACGGACGGACGGACGGACGATCTACCAAATCGTTCGATCTAAGAAGGATCATGGCGAATTATTGAAAATTACACCGAAACGCGTAAACGAGTTTTTTTCGGCTCCAATCTTGCGAATAATAATAGACAGAATAATGACGAGAATATCTTCTTTTTTTTTTTTTTTTTTTTGATAAAAAAATTTCATCTTTTGTGAACAATCTTGATAGGATTATTATTTAAATAAATTAATTATTATTTATTTAAATTTATTTTAATATTCATGGAAACGGTTTTAGATTATTATTATTATTATTATTATTATTCTCTCATATGTTTCGAATTGTATTTTTTTTATTATTTAAAATTTTATTGTTTCAATTATTATTTTTTTTTAAATATAATAATAATAATTATTATTATTAAAAATTTTCTTGTATTATTAATTGAATTGTCAAATTTTTGAAACCACATTCGTAGGGTTTTTATAGAAGAAGAAGAAGAAGAAATTGAAAAATAAGACATCAATAATTTCCCAAATCGAATTGTGGGTATTCGAATGTCAAGGTTCATTAGAACAACCACCAGTATACAAAAAAGTTGAAAAAAAAAAAAAACCAAATGATATAAAGAAGAAATGATTTATCTCTAATACAATTCTAAAGTAAGAGACATGAACAACCAATGGTGAAAAGCATTCCTATTTTTTTTTTGTTCCACCCATTATGTTTGGAACGATGGGATGCTACTTGTTTAAAAGAATCATCCCCCCGTGTATAAAAGATTTACGTTCTTGTAAAATGTTACCGGAATGAATTTCGAGAGAAGGGAGCGATAGTCAAACGTATCCCTTTAAATTTGATTTGTTCCAGATATTATATCGTCATCTAAGGACTACCGTGACGACGACCATCATCAGAAGATAACCAAGTGAAAAACGTTTTCATTTCTATTTTAACACTGCTGAAAACGAATATTTCACTGCAAATGGTTTAAAAGATAACAAAAAAAAAAAAAAAAAGTGTGGCTTTTCGTGTCGTTGAGAATAAATGAAAAAAAAAGGCAGATGATGATTCTGGTCAGAGTATTTTTTTTTTTTTTCATGTGTGTGTGATGACGTCTATTGAAAATCTTTGAACAAAACAGAACAAAAATTCCCCCTAAGACAAGAGATAAGTCATCAAGTTAGAAAAATAACTTAGTTAGACTTGGTAATATTTGTTCGAGAACTTAAATGTCGATTGTACTAATCCGTGTGTTTTTAAAAAAAAAAAAATAAAAAAAAAGGAAATCTTATCGATGGTTAACAATTCAAACGTTGAAGAAGATTAAAGTACGAAAGAATGAGATCACCTTGTAGAATATGACGATCGCGATTCGAGGAATTACCTGCCTAGGTCATCACCGAAAGTTTTATACTCAAGAGACGCGTGTCCTTGCAAGAGTGAGTGAGTAAGAAAGAAAGAAAGAGAGAGAGAGAGAGAGAGAATGAGAAAGAGTTTTACGGTTTTCAAACAACCGGATGACGGTGATAAAGTCTACTCGGAAAGGCGAGAAATTGTTATCGGTTTGCTCCAAAGAACCGTAAGAAGTAAAAAAAAAAGAATCGGCTTATGAGAAAAGAAAAGAAAAGAAAAGGAAGGGAAGGGAAAGGAAAGGAAAGGAAAGGAAAGGGCGAGAACATTTGCTTCGATGATTCCAAGAGTTAATAAAACGTTTTGTTTACGTATGACAACTTGGTGTCACGGTGAGTGCACAATATTTCTTGTTCTATCTTTTTTTTTGTAATGTACAATAAACATTAAATGGTAAAATGAAGAGATGAATGTTTTTTTTTTTTGTTATCAGAATTGTTCAAACAAAACTTCACGCTTCAATTTCATTTCATTTTTTTTTTTACAAATAACTAAACGGTACTTAGGTATTATTAATGCAACTGCAGCAAAAATTCCGCTGATGCACCAATCTACCACCTTAAATTGTTGCGATAAATCATAAAAAAAAAACTTTATTTAAAATTAAAACACTGTCAAGGTTCGAAACATTTTATTTATTATATAAAAAGTAGTCACACAATCGGATTTCGATGGAAAATGGGCCGATATAGAATTTAACATAGATTCAAAATAGTTTATATTTGTTTTTATCTGATACTGTCGCCATAACCCTGACGAAATCCTGACGAAACCCTGACGAAACCCTGACGAAACCCTGACGAAACCCTGACGAAACCCTGACGAAACCCTGACGAAACCCTGACAAAACCCTGACAAAACCCTGACAAAACCCTAACGCAACCCTGACGAAACCCTGACAGTTGTTGTGTGCAAACAACAAGTTTGTTGTATGCGAACAACAAGATTGCTCTTTATTGGCGCATTAGCGGAATTTTTGCTGCGATATAATTTGATAATAGATGTACAACTTTGCTACTTCCAATTTTTCTATAAGAAATCTGTAAAAAAAAAAAAAAAAAAAAAATAAAAATTATATAGAAAAAAAAAAAAAAAAAAAAAAAAAAAAAAAAAGAAAAAGAAGAAGAAGAAGAAGAAGAAGAAGAAGAAGAAGAAGAAGAAGAAAAGGTAGACAAAACTTTAGCCGGTGGTTTTAGTCGCGTGGGAGTCGCGAGCACCGACGTTGTTNTAGCGGAATTTTTGCTGCGATATAATTTGATAATAGATGTACAACTTTGCTACTTCCAATTTTTCTATAAGAAATCTGTAAAAAAAAAAAAAAAAATAGCAAAAGCAAAGTTGTACACCTAAAATAACCTGTGATTTGTTTCGAAGTGTTCTTTGTTTTTTTTTTTTTTAAGACACACGTGTAAAACACATCATCATAAGATTTATGTCAGTGCAAGCAAGGATATCACACACACACACACAAAAGAAAAAAAAAACACGACAATTATGTCTCATCCAGCATATTAAAAGAATTAGGGGCTTTTTCTTGGCTTGAAGGAGATACGTCGCCCAACCAAAAAAAGAAAAAAAAACAAAAAGACTCCAGGACACGTTCCCTTTCGGAAAACGATTTAACGGATATCGGTGTCGGGAGGGCTTACCGAGCGATTAAATT